GTTAAGTAATCAGAATATTAGTCTAAATATTTCATTCATCCCTCAGAAATTCTAAATTTAGTTTCTTTCATACAGAAGCTTAGTGTGCAAATTATTTCTTCAACAAACATAATCACGGAAATTCCTCTCCTAGGAATTTTTTTTTTTTTCATTAACTCCAGGCTTCCCTAACAACTAATGCCTAAGAAAAGCACTACTCCTATTTTTTTAGTACACAAAACTATTTCTAAAGATTGGCAAAGAGAATATATCAAACATCAACATTAATATTTTCTGTTACTATTTCCCTAAGTCACAGATCATTGGCATTATATGGTAATCTGAAGAACCAACTGCCCTAATTTTTTCCCCAACTATCACCTCCAAAAGTATAACTTGATGAGTACTACCTCTGGAATTATGTGCTCAATTAAAATTACAATCATAATCACTCAGATTGGGGAGGAAAAAAACCCCACCATTTTCTAACAAATACCTGATGAAACCACATAATAAAAGGTCATCTTTGCCAAACAAAACTCAAGGTCTTTCCCTTCATTGAACAGCTGAAAGCAAACATATTTACCCAGAACAAGTATTTGGGTTTTTACCAACTTACATGAACATTTTACTAGAGTCAGTGGTTAGCTATGAAGATATTTATAAGCATTTTTTTTCCTTTTACTGTGATTTGGAAGATTAATGTAGTTAAATTACTTTAAAAATCAATAAAAGAAGACAGATTTAAGCAAACAAAGGGGTGATAAAAAATGTCATGAAGCTAAATGGTAAGTCTAAAGGTCTATATAGTATGTAAAAAGCACTTGAAATGCTTAATTTCTAAATTAATTTCCTAAATATATTTCCATTGTTTATGGGAAAACAGTGCAATAAGAATAAAATGCAAATCACATTGAAAACTTTAGATTTTCTTGTAGTCAGTTAAAAAAGTAAAAACAGGGCCCTCCCTGGTGGCACAGCAGGTTAAAGCACAGCACTAAGAAGCTAAAGCCACTTCAGCATGAGTTCGAACACCACCCACCCCGGAGGTGATCCATATGGCGAAGCAGACCTCTCCTGGCCTGCCCAATGCTCCCCTCTCTGGCTCTGGTGAATCCTCTCGCTGCCCCTGAGCCTCTGGCCTGTACCCCAGTTCTGTACACATAAATAAATAAATCTTTAAAAAAAAAAGTAAAGTAAAAACAGGTGAAATTCTAACAATGTATTTTCATTAATCCTATATATCCAAGTCATTATCCTTTTAACACAGTCAATACTAAAAAAATATCAGTAACATGGTTACTTCAAAATCTGCACACTTACATCACTCCCAATTCAGGTAAACATTTCCAGGGCTCAATTGCACATATAACTAGTAGCTACATACTGAACAGCACACAAGTGGATCAAATACGACTTCTAAATTTCTAAAGTTCAGTTATATAATCAGCTGAAAGCCCAAAATGTCTTTATCTCAGTCTTTAAAGGCAAGAGAGATATATATTATAAGATCTAAAATAAGAACAATTTATACTTCTTAAGCATGACTATGCTCCAGGCCTTTTAAGTGCTTTCCCAACATTATCTCATTTGATCAACATAAAGATGTGTGATATAAAAAGGAATAATATCCCCATTTTACAAATAGAGAGACTAAGGTTTAATGCAGGCAGTCTGACAAAGAGCTTCAATACTATGCATGCTCACAGTAAGAAAAGTACCAAATGGGAAAAAAGATGGCTTATAAAGGAAAAGATGAAATAGGAAGTAACAAAGCAAAAACTATTTTGATATTATAGGTTTTAAAACTAAATTATGTATATAATTCTTTTTCACAAGAAATTATAATCTCCAACTCATATACTTTTAGGTCAGAATTTTTATTTTTAAACTACTATGCTACAACGAAATTTAACTTTAGACTGGTAATGTAAACAGTAATAATGTGAATATTTACTCATAACACAGTACTGAATTTAAATTTAACTTTAAACTGGTAATGTAAACAATAACTTTAGACTGGTAATGTAAACAGTAATAATGTGAATATTTACTCATAACCCAGTACTGAAAAATTAATTACTGACCAATTCAGTATTTAAGAAAATAGTAAAGAATAATGTGGGAATTATTTTAAAGTCAAGAATTTTCCCTAGTATATTAGTTTCAAGAACTTTTTCTCTATTTGAATCTAATTTAATAATGTTAACTTTATTGTGGACCTCTTTTTAACAGTCTCACTTTCTCTTATGGAGGGAAGAAAAGGAGTTTCTTTTCCTCCCATTCACCTATTGTTTCAAGGAATAAAAAAGTATAAGAAGGTAAAACATGCAGGAAAAAAAGCTAGTTTCTCTCCTATATCTCAATTTTAAGAAAAAAATAAGGAACACAAGGTAATACTGAATATAATAGATGGATACACTGTACCCCAAGATGTAGCTAAAAAATAATAACGATGTTCACATCGTTTCACATACACATGGCTTCAGCAAAATGGCATAAACACTGACATTCATAAAAATTTTAGGTAAAATGCTATCTCTTCAGAAAATAGCATTCAAAAATACCTGGACAAAAGAAACAACCCTGTGTTAAAAAATTTGTGATCAGAAGTAAAATTATCTGACCCTTTTATGTACCTAAAAATCACAAGATAAGGATAGCCTTGATCCACAGTTGAAGGTCATGGCTGTCTGCACACTAACATTGACATTTTCATGTGTCACTAAAAAGCTCGATCACACCACCTTCTGTTACACAGTAAACCTATCATCATACTGTATTTAGTATCCCTCCCACATACTCAAACTTCACAAGTGTGGCCAGATATGGGAGGGGTGGGGGTGGGGGTGGGGGGCTCTTAATGGAAGAGTTCATTTGCACAATGTGCCTGAACAGCTGTTTAGCAATAGAACAAAAAGGTTAGAGTCAATCTGCCTCATGCCATAATGAAATACCTCAGCTACCAAAATTTTGCAGAAAATATATTCAAAACACCTGTATTTTGTCTTTGATCATTTGAACGTTATTAAATATTACGAAGAACTTTCAAAGCTCGTCTATGGGTTTCTTTTATGTTTCTTTTATATTTTCCTTTTCACTCCTACTAACATATGTGTCAGGCACTAGCTCTATCCCTTTCAATGCATCATCCTACTAAGTCTTCCCCAAGAGGTCCATACTATTAGTGTTTCTGTGGAAGATGGATTCACTGAGCTTTAATCCAAAGTCCCACAGCTGTCAAAAACAAACTAAGAGTTTACCAGGTCGGGCTTCCCACCTTCTTGTCTAAGGTCTCTTGTACAAAAAGGAGTTTGTTTCATTCCCTATTTACTGACCAATTTATCTGCCTTAGTACCTTCATACATCCAAATGACCCAAACATATAAGCAAAGTTTTATTGTTACTTATATCTCCAAAAACATTAGAGATGAATTGCCAGGTAGGTGAATTATATTTCAAAAGAGCTGTTACTTTTTTTAAAAGGAAAAAAAATAAACTTAAGTATGCTAATAGCATCAACTCTATAATTACCCTAGCAATAGTTCATTATGGGCAGCATAGGTGAATTAAGCCCATAGATAAACCAAAACCCTGACTTGTAACTCATCTCTCAGATGTTTATAGATGAAACCCTTACTGTTACTAACTCTTTAAGATTCCTGTAACTGCCTCAAACTCTCCAGTACGGCTTCTCTCCTCTCTATCCTATCCAGAATACCAGTAATCTACAGATCACCCTTATATATTACCTTCATCATTGCAAATTCTATTCAAAAACCTTAATGGCTCTTTTCCCCTGCTACATTAAATCTAAATTCATCTGCCTAGTTTTCAGGGTCTTCCCTAACCCGTCTTCATCTACCTCTTTCTACTCAATGTGGACAAGCCAGCTCCTTAGTGTCCTAGGAACGGAACAAGACTTGTACTGGATGTTGTGCTATAATTAATTCCATTTTATTAACATGACATGTTCTCTCCATCACCTTCAAAGACCTTACCCTCCCCTTTCCCTGACTATTGCACTTTGCAGCCTCAGTTAAGACCAATAGTACTAGGATGTCAAAAGTCACCTTTGTTATCTCCAGTACTTAGAGGATGGGGCATAAAATACACTCAAAAAGTGTTTGTAGAATGCAAATCGTAACATGGTATGTCAAAATAATTATGTGGCACTTATTTTCTCTTTTCATACCAAGTATATTCATGTCACTAGAAATTAAAAGTAGGAGAATACTAAAAATAATGATTTCAGAGACTTTCCTCAATCTGAAGTAACCACTAAGTTATCAGATGCTCTCATGATCCTGAAACCATTTCAATATAGGAACCAATTCAAAAGACTCTGAGTTTGAGGATTAACAGAGTTGATTTTTGTTCTTATTATGAACCCTTCTAGGAGTTAACAATGCTAGAATCAAGAAGATGACAATTTTTTTTTCCCTAAGATGACAATATCATTCAAGGCTCTTCACCAAAAAGAGTATTATCTATATAGTAATTATCTACACTATTATGAAATCTTAACATTAGAACCCAATTACATTTTTTGTTTCCCAACCAATCTAAACAAACTAAACAAATATATTTAAGTACAAAAACAATCATTTTCTTAAAAGCAAACACTAAAATCTTTATTGTCATAAGAGAACATAAGGAATTCAGCACCTCTATACTAGATTAGAAATCAAAAATATGGATAATCATTCTACACCTACATTATGACTTCAGCATGCGAGATAAAAAAAACTTGAATAAAAAAATTTTAAATAATTGAAAAATACTTCTAAAAATGATTAAAGAGCCTCAATTTACATATTCAATTATGAAGCACTTCAAAAAAAATAGGCCCTTATCAGATAGAAAAGGCCAAAGATTATAATATTCTCTGATAAATATAATTCAACAAAGCAAAAAAGGCAGAAATTTAATTCACAGTGAAGGAGACCCATCAGACACTAAAGGAAGCACAAGAACATACTGCTTCTCTCTAAAACATTAAATATATTCAGTATCCCTACCTGTTTCTGAAATGTACGTGACAGGATCTTGTCGGAGAATTTTGCCAGGTTTAGAAGACAATGGTAATTTTTCTGGTTGCTTTTTAGTGTTTCTTATCTGCACTGTCTCCTCTGGTTCTGAATCTATATATAGGATGAAAACAAAACTTTGAAAAGAAAGTTTCAAAATGGTTTTAAAATGCTGTTAGCCAATTCCTCAAGGTTCCTTTCTTCCCCCCCAGTATTTCATGAGTTCTCAAAGGTTACTTCCACCCAGTGTTAAGGCCTTTAATTAGGTCTCTATTGATGGTCTCACGAATTCAGTGGTTTAAGACAAACTATCTTAGAATTCAGGAGGTCAGAAATTCTACACAAGTCTCAGCGGGTTAAAATCAAGATGTCACCAGGGCTTTGTGCCTTGCTGTATACTCTAGGAAAGAATTCACTCCTTTGCCTTTTCCAGTTTCTAGCAATTGCCAGCATTCTTTGGCTCATGTCCCCACTCCATCTTCAAAGTCACAGCTGTGGCAGAGTACACCTCATGCTGCTTATCCTTGTTTTCTTCTTCCACAGGCATGCACTCTCTACTCTTTTTCTTCTACTTCCTTCTTCCTCATGAAAACATTGAATCCACCCAAAAAATCCAGGATAACTTCCCAATTTAAGGTCATCTGATCAGCAACCTTAATGCTACCTATAACTTGCACTTCCCTTTGCCATGTACCTTAACTTGTTCCAGGAATTAGGTATAAACATTTAGGGGATGACCACAGTCCCACTGAACAGAGCACTGAAATATAACACAGGACAAGTGTGCACACCTAAGATAGTGCCTGGTACAACATAAGAGTTTCATGAACTTCAATCCTTCCTCTTCCTCTGCACCATGCATTTATAATTCCTGTCACATACTGTTGTAAATTTTACCTAACAATTAAATTTCTAGTTTCCCAAGCAATGAAAAGTCCTGGGGAACAAGGATGTGTACTTCTTTCATATTCCTTATAGTACACAGTCACAAAACTCACAAACACCTAAATACTTTTAGAACCCAATCAGAACCTTGGCTGTCACTGTCAAAACTCTAATCTAAATCCTGACAAGCTTAAGTGCTTCTTAATTACATGTTTAATCTTCAGAACTCACACCAGATGATCTCCACAAAAATATAACCTAAAACTTTTACTTATACCATTATTCTAATATATCATTAAAGGCAAGCAGAAAAACTTATGTTCCCTATTTAAAAGTATTTTCAAAGAGAAGTTTTTAAGTTGTGTTTGCTCCCCTTAAATGCAACCCAAAAAAATGACCAAATTGAAAGCACAAAAATTAAATTTTAAGATTTTTCTAAAGCAATAATCTAAGGCACTATTTTTCAAATTCATCTCTAAAAGCCTCAGCTAGAATAAAATTATCAATTTTTAAACTAAGTTTGAGATATGCTATATTCTTTTATTTTTTGCTTTTTAAATTTTCTATTATTTTAATTTTATATATATATTTTAGCATTTTCATACAATGCTTTATCATCTCGTGTACAGTCCCCCCAAAATTCCTACCACTAATTCACTCATGCACCATCAGTATAGTCCCTTGTGTACTTCCCACCACCGTTTTGATCCAATTTCCTCATTTGTCTCTGGATTATAGTTGCCTGCTGATTTTCTTTTAATTTTATTATCATTACTGCCCCCCCTCCGTCCCGTATTTGGTTCCCCTACAATTCCTCCTACAAGAGAAACCATCCAGTATTTTTCTTTTTCTTTCTGGCTAATTTCACTGAGGAGAGACAGGCGGTATTCTATATTTTCCTATGAACAAATCTTTAATACAGCAACACATTTAGACTCTGATAAGCTGTGCAATATAATAAAACTGTTTAACTTTACTGAGTATAGAGTGCTCTTTTCACAACAGCTGTCACAGGGAGCTATGTGTCTCAGAACATGTTTGGAAAACTGTTCTAAGGAACATAAAGTAATTTTAAAATTTTAAAGCTCATCTGAAGAAATATTACCTGAATCATAAATAATCCTCTTTTTCTTGTTTGGCTGCTTCTGTTTAGAGTCATCTTCTTTACAAGAACTGTTTACCTATAAACATCACAGTGTAATTAGAAGACAAAGAAGCACACGTTAGCCATTTTTTCTTCATTAGACTTTATTCAGTGGTTCTCAACCCAAAGGAATTTTAGCACCTTAAGAGACATTTTTGATCATCGTATCTGGAGTGTGGGAAAGGGTATTACTGGCACCTAATTGCCAGTAATTAGGGATCTACTAAATCCTGTAGTGCACAGGACAGTCCTCCACAACAAAGAATTTTTCAGCCTAAAAGGTTAATAAGTTTAAAAAAGAAAGAAAAAAATAGCCCTGAATACTGCATTAGAAGGTTATATTATTATTCAGTTCTACTATCAACAATAATCTATGTATAACAAACAAAATGATGTCAAATGCTTCTTGAAAATGAAAGAGACCCATGGGCTCTCCCTGGTGGCACAAGGTGTTAAAGTACTTCATTAGCCACTACAGCGTGAGTTCAATCCCCCACCAGAAAGGTGACCCACATGGTGTGGCAGGTCTCACCTGACCAGCCCACTATTCCCCTCAGCAGTCTATTTCAGTAGATCTGCCTGTTCCACCTCCCATTCTGTCTCTGGTAAATCCTCTCACCCACCACATCTATGGCCTGCACCCCAGTTCTGTAAGCATAAATAAAAAAATCTTAAAAAAAAAAAAAATGAAAGAGACAAAAATAAAAGCTAGGCTCTCCCTGGTAGCACAGCAGGTTAAAGCACTGCACTAAGAAGCTTAAGCCACTTCCGCATGAGTTCGAACCCCGCCTGTCCCTGAGGTGAACGCATGGTGTGGCAGACCTCTCCTGGCCCGCCCGCTGCTCCCCTCAGCATTGTATCCCAGTAGATCTGCCTGTTCTGCTCCCTACTCTGTCCCTGGTGAATCCTCTCACCCTCTGCATCTTTGGCCTGTACCCCAGTTCTGTATGAATAAATAAATCTTTAAAAAAATAAATTAATTAAAATAAAAACTAGAGTTGTGGGCTCGTCAATACCCAGTACCTGCTGGAAACTAGGTAAAGCCAAGGCAAGAGGTATTATTTAATTTTTTAATTATAATTCACATCCCTGCATATTCAAAAGGCTTTATATCCTGTAACTTATACATCATATTTACAACATAGTCAAATTTTCCCAAAATCAAGAAACAGCAAAAAATTTTAAAATAAAAACTGTAATCAATTATAAGGTAGAAGTATATTTCTATCCATTATAATAAAACTTCAAAAATATGGGAACAATCAGTTAGTAAGAAAGTAAGACGAATGAATGAATGAACTAGAGGACAGAGTAGAGCCAACTATAATAACTCAAAAGCAAGAGAAGCAGGTATCCCAGAAGGAGATCAGCTATTTAGGAAGAGTCCCAAATTCTACCAATAAACGTAGCCCAAAGCTGTAGCCACTACTAAACTTTGTATACAAAAACATCTCCAAGTGCCCAGGCAAGGACTAAAGAAAAAGATTTTGGCTGCTGACCATCACAAGGGAAACAAGAGTTTAGATTCTGGGTTCAGCCAAGCTGCCTACTAAACCAAAAGAAATATTACTCTTTAGGCAAATATACAAAATCCAAAATTTCTACACTGCTACATTTACACTGTCCAAGGTAAATTCAAAATAACTATACATGTAAAGAAATAGAACTGTGATAGTTAACTTTATGTATTGACCTGACTTGGCGACAAGGTATCTAGCTATTTCATCAAGCATTATTTTGGGTGTTTCTACAAGAGTATTTTTGGATAGATATAACACTTAAATCAGTAAGTAAAGCAGATTTCAACTACCATTCTCCTCCACCAATATGGGTACGCCTCATTCAATCAGCTGAAGGTTTGAGCAAAACAAAAGGTTGACCCTCTCCCAACTAAAGAATTCCTCCTCCTATCTGCCTCTCAAGCTGAGACATCAGCCTTGGTTACCTTTGGATACCAATGTAAACATCTCTCCACCTTCAGACTAGAACTAGACTATTGGCTCCACTGGTCCACAGGCTTTTGGACTCAGATCTGAATTATGCATACACCATCAGCTATTCTCACTCACTGCTGACATAAGTCCTGGGAGTAGTCAGTCCCTATAATCAAGAGTCAGTTCTTTGTAATAAATCTACACACCCACAAACTCACATCCCAATTGGTTTTCTTTTGAAGAACTAATGGCTAATACAGACTACTGCCCAATATTGATTCTGTAACTGAAAAGAGATGCTATACCAAATACCTAAAATACAAAGGATATTGTATATTGGTAGGAGAGAAGTCATTCTAAGATTCATGTTAGAAAAAGTCTAGACTAAAGACATGGGGGGAAACTGTATTGTTATTACAATATAAAACAAAACAAAACAGACAACTATAAGACAGAGATAGCCTATGGGGAGGGGGTCAGAGAGGAGTCAGGAGGAAGGAAGGAAGGGAAGGAGGGAGGGAGGGAGGGAGGGAGGAATGTGGGGAACTGTGGTGGTGATAGGCAGGTAAAGGGGGGGAGAGGGGAAGTAAACATTATTTTAAAACAATAATGTAAATAGATAAACCAATAAAAAATTCTACACTGCCAATAAGAGATTAGTGATAGAAATACAGATGTTAACAATCTCAGGGAGAAGAAATAGAGCCAGCAAACAAGTCATCATATTAAAGAATACACAGATCACCATAAACAGAATGGTGGTACAGTGATAATCATTCAAGGCCATTCTCATAAGGTCTCAGACAGAGAGATTACTGAAACTGGAGGAAAATGGTTCTGTTATAAAATGGCAAAGAACTTGGTTGAGTTGTATTCTATGACTCTGAGAAAGAACTTCTAAATGATGAAACTGGATATTTAGCTGAGATTTTTTTTAAAAAAAGATTTATTTATTTGTACAGAACTGGGGTACAGGCCAGAGATGCGGAGGGTGAGAGGATTCACCAGAGACAGAGTGGGGAACAGGACAGGCAGATCGACTAAGTACACTGCTGAGGGGAGCAGCGGGCGGGGCAGGAGAGGTCTGCCACAACATGTGGTCACCTCGGGGCAGGCGGGAACTGAACTCATGCAGAAGTGGCTTAAGCTTCTTTGTGCTGTGCTTTAACCCGCTGCGCCACCAGGGAGGGCCTTAGCTGAGATTTTTTAACCAAAATGGTAGAAGATATAACCTGAGTCATCCTGACTACAGTTATATGCCAAGAGAAGAGAAATAAACTGAAATACTAAGCTAGAAGAAATTAGAACTTAAAAGATTTAGAAAATTCTCAGGCTATGAACACTGCAAAAATAAAGTGCTCTGAAGAGAACATCAAGGCTATGGCTGGACTAACAGTCATTAAAAACTTTATGGGGTTACACAACATTGCCAGATGGAAATGAAGGGCACAAAGTGAAGGAAGCTTGTCACACTTAATTCTAAAGACAAGACAACAGAGCAAGTGGGCTGCAAATGCGCACTATCAACTAACGAAATAAATAACCCTGAAAGGCCATTCAGGCCTCTCTTATTTCAACAGGAAGACAGCTTCCACCCAGAAGCCTTAAGGACCACTGTCCCTGTGGACCCAGAAGCAGAGCAGTGAGCCAAAGCAGAAGCCAAGCTTTATGAACTAGCAGAACTTGCCTTGTCAGATATTTTTTTAAAGATTTATTTATTTGCACATACAGAACTGAGGTACAGGCCAGAGGTGCAGGGGCAGTGAGAGGATTCACAGAGACAGAGTGGGGAGCAGAACAGGCAGATCAACGAAGTACACTGCTGAGGGGAGCAGCAGGCGGGTCAGGAGAGGTCTGCCACGCCATGTGGTCACCTCCGTGGCAGGCCGGGATCAAACTCATGCGGAAGTGGCTTCAGTTTCTTAGTGCGGTGCTTTAACCCGCTGCGCCACCAGGGAGGGCCCTGCCTTGTCAGATTTTAAGATGTGCATGGGATCTGTTACAACACTTTCTTCCTTCTTATGTCTATTCTACACCTATCCCACCACTTATATTTTAGAAGCACACAGCTTGTCTTGTTTCACAGGTTCACAGCTGAAGAGGAATTCTGCCCCTGAGTGGCTCATGCCTCAATCTCACTGGTGTTTGATTTAGATGAGATTTTAGACTTTAAACTTTAGCTAAGCTGCAATGAGACAAGATTTGGGGTTGGGGGGTGTAAGGGGGATCTTGTCAAGATAAATGTATTTGGTATGTGAGATGAACATGAATCTAAGAACTCATTAGCAGAATGTGTGTTTATATACTGAATTTATATACTAAACCCCAATTATGTGTGGCTGTATTTGGAGGAGTCTCAAAGGAAGTAACTAGTTAAATGAAATAAGGATGAAGACTTGATCAGTAAAGCTAGTGAGCTTAATATAAGCTATTGGAGTTTCCGTGCACATGTTATGTGTGCCTGCACTTTCTGTCTCCCCTATCCCTTTCCCTTATCTAAGCACCAAGGAAAGGCTATATGAGGGCAAGCCTGAAGGTAGTCAACTGCAAGCCAGAAAAAACATTCAACCAGAAACTAAAATGGCTGGAATCTTGATCATCAATGTCTAGCTTCTAGAAACATAAGAAAATACATTTTTTTAAGACACCCACTCTATGGTAGCCAAAGTCAACTAATACATGAGCTATAGCCTCAAGAGAATGGGCACTTCATGATAAACAATCCTGATATAGCTCTGCTGTTAGAATTACCATGTGATAGTTTTCCTTTTTTAAATTTTATATATATTTTTTACATTATTCATTTTGTACATTTTTTTCATCTCAGTTGTAATCTCCGTGGATTTCCCACCACCACTTCGCCCATGAAATAGAAGACATAAAGAAATGGAAAGAGATCCTTTCTCATGGATTGGCAGAATTAACACCATTAAAATGGCTATCCTTCCAGAGCAATTTATAGATTAAATGCTATTCCAATAAAAATTTCAATGACATTTTTCAAGAAATAGAAAAATACTGATGAAATTCATATGGAGCTACAAACAACATCAAATAGCCGAGACTCTTCTGAACACGAAAGGGAATGGAGGTATCACATGCCCAGACTTCAAACTACACTACAAAGCCGTAATAATTAAGTATTAGAAGTGTTGTGTAGACACAATACACATGGCAACCAGGACAAAGGGTAGGGACGTGCAAACAAGGTTCTAATGGAGTTGCATGGTTCTTACATTGTAAATTAAGTAGAAAAATATTAATGCAGAAATGTCATTTTAAAATAAACATTATCTCTTCACTTCTCTGAGACCCAAGGACAGAGCAAAACCTAAAGCTTTCCTCAAAGCCTTCTCTCAACAGGAACTCAGTACCACCCACCTGGGGTTCATGTCTCTAAGCAAACTTTGGCCTTAAAATACAGTTTTAACAACTAAAAAGGGCTCCTTCAGGAAAACACCAAGCTACAAATACAATAAACTATATTAATTAGAAAAAGTAAAATATTACTATTATTTTTCCCTGCTAAATGTACTGAAATCTTTATGAGACTCCCAAAATATTGCATCAAAGAAATGAGCTCACTCTACCTTTCACACAGTTCAAAATGTATCTGAAAACAGACCTTAATTTCCTTTATTCCTTTCTTTGCCTTTAAAGTTTCTTCAGCAGACTTTGTTTTCTCATTCCTCTTTACTGTTTCACTTACAAGCTTCTTCCCACTCGGTATAACCCCAAAGAATTTCCGAATATCCTAAAAGCAAAAAGGGAGATTTATGAATAAACATTAACTGCACAAAAATCTAACTTCAATTATAAAAAAAGGTCAGCTCTATATACACAATGGCTTACCCTGTACAATTTCTTCACAGTGAGGTAATTCCATCTGCACAGTAGTCTGCTTTTTTAAAAAAATATTTATTTTTATTTATTTACACATGCAAGAACAGGAATGCAGGGAGTGAGAGGATTCACCAGAGATGCAGGGAGCAAAACAGACTGACCTCCTGAAATACACTGTTCAGAGTAGCAGGTGAGGCAGGAGAGGTCTGCTGCACATGGTCTGGGATCAAACTCTTGCTACTGTAGCTGGTGATAGCTTGAGAGCACTGAGACTTAACCCTTGCACCATCAGAGAGGCCCCAGATTGCTTTCATTTGCAAAAATTAACTGATAAAGTTATCTGAGTTAGAAATAATTTGCCTAGTAAAAAGTAATGTTAATTCTCAGAATCTGGCCAAAGTGGAGCAAAAATAAGCAAGTAAAATTTTTGTTAACAGCACAATCACTAAAAGGTGCTTCTTGATCATGCCTGCACATAGTCATCATGGTCTTAAAACCATAAGGAAAACAAAGAATGCAAGAATGTAATCCTTATCTGTGGGATTCCTTTGTTTAATTACTCCAGTTTAAGAGGAGGGAAAAGCTCTCATAAACCTAATATTTAAGACTTTAATAAATAAGAACCTTGAAATTACTTTCTAAATCCTAAGAAAAAATGCTTATCACAATATTTGCTTAACCATTCCACTTGTGTTATTAAACTGTAGAATTCAAATTACACAATGAAACATTTATAACTTAAATCAGTTTTTTTATCCATTACATATATGTTCTTTCCTATCCGTAAATTTTGGCTTTGAAGAAACTGATATAGAATCCACGAAAAGAAACTCTTAAAATCAGAAAGGCTTTGTTTGACTTAATGCTCTCAACCTGTGTGACCCTGGACAAGTTAATTTAGCCGAATTTATTTTCTGATCAAGAATATGAGACTAAAAATACTTATACATTGTAGGAATTAACTATGTACCTATACAATTTTGGTTCAATAAAAAGTTTCCCTTCAGCTTAATTATGAAGAATTACCCTTTATAGCACTGAAACCTTTCCATTTACAATTATCTCTGCTCACGGGCATTAAGTATCTCAGAATAATGAGAACTTCAGGTCTGAATTCCAAGTAACTGGGTTCAGGAGCCAGTTGGACATTTTCTTTTTTTTTATTCTTGATGGTTACAATCCTGAGTTTTCAGTCCTTTTTACCTGTTCCAATCTATTTATTGTAGAGTTTGTGAAAGTACTTTGTGAAATTTAATAAACAATTATTACCTCATCCTGGCAGTACATATCACACTCTTAAAATGTAAAAAATACCACACAAGTGTGTTATGCAAACACACTTAACCATACATGCAGACACAAACAAGTCGATGGCTAAGCCAATAAACAGAGCAGATTAAAGGGGCACAAACATGTTAAATTGATTTAAAAGTTTAAAGACTTCCCTGGTTTCACTCCCTCATTTGTAAATTTCCTAATATAAAAAGTCACAAGTCCATCCTCATAAAAATCTGTTAAAATTCTGAAAAATACTGTTTATGAAATGGTAGTTCAGCTATGAAACTGAGGTATTTGTGTCAGGTGCAAAAGAAAAAGACAACAAAGAAAGCTAGACTTCTGTATAACTTGCAAAGCACTAAGTTTGAGGCTAACCACTGAAAGAAATGCGAATTTCACATTAGAGTTTCGCTTCTGAAATTACCCAGTGATTTCTACTCAAACAACAGTGACTACATAAGCGCACATACAGGCATGCACAGCACATGCACTGTGGAATACCAAAACTGCAGGCTCAAGTCAGTGATGGCCCGCGTTAGTACCACAAATGCTTAAAACCACAAAGGGATAGAAAACAAAACAGATAGGAAACAGAATTGCTGGTAACACTGAGCTGACTTCTTTCTGCCATCCCGCCATTCCTCAGCTTGTTCCAACCCTTCCTTCCTTCCTATCAGCAATTCTACTCACATTCAGTCTTCCCCTCTCCTTTTATTCTACCTTACTCCCCACACTTCACTGCCTCCGACCTTTATACTCTCATGGCAGAAGAGGTAAACAAATTACAGTATCCTGACTAACTCAATATACAGTAAAAATCTAAACTTCCATGAAAGAATTGTTATCAGAATTAGTCCTTTTACAATTATCGTCAGTGTGAGCAGCCATTTGTATATAAATACCTAAAAGGTAAAGGTCACCAATATTTGGCCTTAATTTCTATCATGATTTCACCTAAGTCTTCAATTAACATTCCTTATGCAGTTGTCAAGGTTTTCAAAGATTTCATGAAATGCAGAAAAACAAGTCGAGTGTAGTGATTAGTATACTACTAAACAATGATCTAAATCATACTCTTACCTGCACAGAATAACCCTCTCTATCCATTTAACCAACAGAAGGAACAAATTTTCAAATTTGTTTTTTAATCATGACAAAGGGAAGGTCTTCTAAGCAGAATATGAAGAACCACCCCTAGACAGATTTGACTACTAAAAATAAAAGATGCCCAAAACTGGGCCCTCCCAGGTGGCGCAATGGGTTAAAGCACCATGAAGCTACAGCAGCCACTGAAGCACAACTTTGATCCCCAAACAGGAAGCTGACCCACATGGTGTGGCAGACCTCTCCTGACCCACCCACTGCTCTCCTCAGCAGTGTTCTTCAGTACATCTCCCTGTTCTGCTCCCCATTCTGTCTCTGGTGAATCCTTAAGCCCTCTGACCTGTACCCCAGTTCTGTATGCACAAATAAATCTTTAAAAAAAAAAAAACACCAAGTTAAAATGTAAACAACTAACATGAAAATATCTCCATATTCTATGTAAAAGGATTTCCACAGTCAAGATAACTTGTAAGGAAAATGATTAAAAACTAGCCGTAGGGGCCCTCCCTGGTGGCGCAGCGGGTTAAAGCACAGCACTGAGAATCTAAAGCCGCTTCTGCATGAGTTCAATTCCCGCCTGCCCCGGAGGTGACCACATGGTGTGGCAGACCTCTCCTGACCCGCCCGCTGCTCCCCTCAGCAGTGTACTTCGTTGATCTGCCTGTTCTGTTCCCCACTCTGTCTCTGGTGATGCTTCTCACCGCCCCTGAGCCTCTGGCCTGTACCCCAGTTCTGTAAGCACAAATAAATAAATCTTTAAAAAAAAAAAAAAAACTAGTCGTAGGAAAATAAAAGAAATACAAATAACCAATTGACATAAGAGACTCAACTTTGCAAATAATAATCAGATAAAACCTGAATATTTTCCCTAAGATTTATTGCCCAGACTCATCAAGAATGTGAGGAAGCAGACTCAGTGATGGGAAACCCACGGGGATTAAAATTAAGATGAAAAAAAAAAAAAAGTACAAAATGATGTAAAAATAAACTATTATATTATTTAAAAAAAAAAAAAGGAATGTGAGGAAGCAAGCTTATGCGCACTACCCTGCTCGTAAGACTAGAAATTGGCATAACCTTTGTATAGAACAATCCAGCAATACTGTGGCAAAAGACACAGGCAAAAATTACATAAAAGTTTAAAATTTTGGGCCACTCTAGTGGCACAGGGGTTAAAGTCTCAGTGCTATGAAGCTATCACCAGCAACAGTATCAAGAGTTGGATCCCCACCAGGGAGCTAACCACATGGCACAGCAGACCTCTCCAGTACTCCCTGCTGCTCCCCTCAGCAGTGTATTTCAATAGATCTACCAGTTCTGCTCCCCACTGTCTCTGGTGAGTCCCCTTACCCACACCCCACCCCACTCCCACACCTCTGGCCTACATCCCAGTTCTTGTATGCATAAATAAATAAGTCTTTAAAAGTTAAAATTTTATAAGCCAGAAAGAAAAGGAAAATACCGGATAGTTTCACTCATAGGAGGAATATAAAGGGCTGGAGGAGAAAATAATAATAATGGACACCTATATACCAGAGACACTTTATGGGGGTGGAGCAGGAATGGAATCAAAAATGGGGGGCGGGAAGAAGTACACTGGACTATGGTGATGGCACAGGGTGATTTGGTGATAGGAAGCCTACAAGGATTACAACTAAGATGGAAAAAGGCACAAAATGATGTAAAAATAAACTTCTTTTAAGTTAAATTTTAATAGAGACAGCTGATAAGTTGTTCATTCTTTTGTTTAATTACAGCCTCTCCTCATGATGCCACATGCCTGAGAGGATCATGTGAGGATTAGAGGTGGCACCCAAAAGCTCCAGAGTAGAAACTGGTCCTCTGACTCCCAATCTGATTCATTGTTTTACACTAGACTATGGCTGTCCCGTGACTGTAAGGATCTATGCAAAAGCATCCGGACCCCACAATCAGCATTGATCCTGTGGGGTCAACGATTTCTCACTGATCCTGTTTGTAGTAGGCACTGTGCCAGGGACTCAACACAAACAGGAAGATGTCCTGATGAAGCTACCTGGGAGACAAATTAGTATCTGAAGAATTACATACAAAACTGTGCTAAGACAGTTATCACAAGACTTTGAGAGCACCACAATCATCTAACACAGGATCCTTCCAGAATGCTTCCCAAGAGACTCAACACCTGACCTGGATCTAAAAATGATTAGGAGATGATAGAAATATGTCTGAATACAATCTCAAAATTTTCATATACAGATTTCTCTAATCTTACACTGTTTCCTAATTAATAACAGGGCCAGCACCTCAGGATTAATAAATGCCTAATTAGTATTTATTAAACATGGAGTTTTATTCGGAACTTCAAACTTGGGCTCAGAAGAGAGGTTCTTTATTAAAATGAAACTCACAGATTTGTCTAAAGATAGTGTATTAAAAGAATTTTTAATGGGATATTTTTTACCATGCCTATATTCCTTTTTAAGAAATGTTTTTGGTTGTTTAATTAATTTTAAGTGGGTATTAACACTGTGTATTAGCTGTGAGGTAAAATATAGCTGATCTCCTATAATTTACCCTTGTAACATGGTACTTGTCATAATATTGTGGCTATAAAAAAACGAAATACTTTCACTTCTAGTAGGAAACTTCCTCTTCTTCATAGTTGTTTTTAGCCATTCAAATTATTTTATAAAACCAAATATATAAAACTAAATCCATTTTATAAAAATCATATAAGTGATGTGAATGACAAACATGCACATACCTCAAAAATTCCTGAGGAAGACACCAATGAATGAAATACAAGAATGGCCTGAAGAATCCTTAAACAGCAACAACTAAGAAGAATTTTAAGGACCTTTATCAATTTGCTCCATTCAACAAATATTTACTAAGACTCTGAGAAGTGAGAAATAAAACCATGATGGTCAGTTTTCTCTGTCTTTGCTTTTCTTGATTCTGTTTACCTTACAAGAAAAACAAGAGTTTGCAAAACTGGGACAAAAAAACATTCCTACCCATTTCAAAAAAGTGGGGAAAAAAGACATCTAATCTTTCATAAGTTGACAAGTTGTATGTCAGAGCAGAAGTATTCACTGTCTTCATGATAACATGTAGCCTAGACCAAAAACAGCCATCGAAGATGGAACACACCTGACTCATAAGATGGACAACATTCAACAGCAAGGGGTACTCAGTCCGATTAAATTCTGGGGTGAGAGGCTAGACATTGGGTTATAACTTGAAAAAATACACTGGTGTTCATAAAGCCACAAAACATTCCATGAAAATTGTTTAGCCTCAATTCATAGATTAGAAAATTATAAATGCCAACAAGACATTCCCTTTAATAGTTCTGACATCTAATATGCTTGTCACTGTAAGCAAAAAAAAAGGATTTCTTACATTTTCACTAAGTGTAACAGTCCTACAACACTGTTAAAGAATGAAAAGAAAGCAAATTTTGTCACAGTGTCCATTTATTTTTGAGGAGTACTGGATTTATGAAAGTAAACTGGTGAAAGCCATGTTACAACAGGATCACAGCACTGCTCTGGGGGTAATGTCGCACAGGAAACCACAAAATGAAAGGTGTCCCCTAAAGTAGGCAATGCAGTAGCTCAAATTCCAATATATTCGAACTTATTAGAAAAATTTTCAAAGGCTAACCCTCATGCTTTATGTGTATTTAATTAAACCTTATGCAATTTTCAATTAATTATTGAAATAATTATAAATTAGTAAATGAATTACATATGCTAACTTCTTTAAAGTGGCATCTCTCAGTTTCATTCACACTTTGAGGAAATAATTATTTTCCCATAATAATCCACATTGTTTACGTGGATTTTAAAATTTTTGATGTCTAATGTTTCAATTGCCTTAACAGATATTATATTCATTATATTCACCTCTACCCTCTTAGGTACTTCTTATATAGTTAGAGACACAAATGTTCTCAGTTTCTATGTATCCTTCTAGAGGATCTTAAACATCTTGAATCAACTATGTATATAATTTTTCTCTCTTCTTCTATGTAAAATAGTAGCATACTTGCTTATTGTACTGTGCCTTGCTTTTTTCATTCAATTACCTTGGCATAGTTTCATACCAGAGCATCATCTTTCCCTTTTTAAAAAATAGCTACATAGTATTCCAATTTGTGGATATATTATTTTATTCCCTTATTGGTAACTTTAATTGGAAAATATCTAAGAAAAAAAATGCAGTCCTCAGGGCAATAGCTATTAACCTTGCATCTAAGGAAGGCCTTCAGAAGATATGTAAATACCCTAAAATGATATGCATGTACCCTACTCATTTCTGTGGGCAGAAAATTTGAATATCATTCGCCACATTACCAGATGCAGTGAAGCCCAAACTAAAGAACTACAGTATTAAGACATGAACAGGAGTGTTCAATGAACTTCTGTTGAACAGAATTTTAGTCTCAGGTTTTACTTACTTTTGTATGACACATACACACTAAATCAAATACCAATATAATTAAAAATTCTTACCCACTTTTATAGAACATCAACTGCTGTTTCCCATTAACAAACAGCAAATTGCCCAATTTTCTGAGAAGGGTTTTACTTTTCATTTGCATTGTGACCATTAAACAACAACAACAAAAAAAAACTTAAATATGTGAAGATCAAATGATCACAGTTTACTCTATGTAAACTTTCCAGAAACTCCTTCCTGAGAAAATTAGGTCATTGGTAATCCTGTATTTGTATGATACCTAGCACACACCAGGCACCAGAAGTCTTACATATTATACTGATTAAGCCTCAAGACAATCATTTAAGTTATATTCCACCCCGTCCCCTTTTACAAGGAGGTTTAAAAGTGGTTAAGCTATTTACTTACCCAAAACCACAAAACTATTAAATGGCAGAGCAAGACGAAAACACTGCTTTACTGTTTTCACTTTCAAGCCTCCAAATCTTATCAACTTTCCACAGTACCACAGTGCCTGAAGTCCAACATGTAAGGAGGATCACTTTAGGGGGGCAATAATGTAGTGTCAGAAAAACCTAGGTTCTAATTTTTCGTCAATATTAGTTGTATGACAAAACTGCTTAAGACTCTCAAAGCCTCCTCTGCCATTGCCCTAAGTGGACTGCTGTGTGGTTTAAATGAGAAAAGGTGTGTAAAAAAAAAAAAAAAAAAGCTCATATAATTGATGTGATGCTACTTCATACCAGGTGCCTAATATTACTGAGAAGAAACACAAAAGGCTGCAAGGTTTCCCCATGGGGTATAAAAATCTCCTCCCCCGCACTTTGGCATAAGTCAAGTAAGTTAAATAAATTGAGGGTAAAGGGGAGTCTGGCTTAATAGAACACTATGAATTTCCCTTTTATTTTTTTTTCTCAAGTTTTTCAAAGTTGTCAGTCATTTACATAGTTATATAAAGGGGGGGGAGCTTAACATCACATATCCATGTTGTCCTTTAAATTAAAATATAGTATCTATTGACATTCTTGTATGAATGTGTTGACTCCATAATTATTTCATTCTCAATTTAAAAGCTTTACGAAGAGTTATGCACAAAGGGTTGTGTGTGGGTGTTTTTAAGATTAACTTTAGGTGATAAGTGATGACAGCTGTCAAATTTACTACATCTGTTTCTACCCACTGTGGGTTCTTTTCGCCCTAGTAAACTGATTATTCCTTTGAATTCCGTGAACCCATCTAAATATCCTCCCCAAGCCCTCAAGGTATAAAAGAGCTATGTATGTGCTCAGCGTTTCGCGGAGTTATTAATGAAATTGAAGGCCCAAGAAAAGTTGGCCAGAACAGAAGTGTATTACACTCTTCTCCCTCGTGACCCAAAGCTTGAAACCAACGCTTTAAGCAGCACTCAAACAAGGCTCCCAGCAACGCTGAAAAAAGAAAACTAAGCTGCGCTCCAAACCACCTTCATTCCTTTCCTTCCTCCCTTCCCCCCCAAAGCAGAAAAAAAGTAAAATTGTCGCGCAGCACCAAAAACTCTGTGCTCACGCTGCTGCCGAGAGCTGGAAGCTGCGGTCCAAGGAAAGCTGAGGACCAAAGCTAGGTTCGGGCTACCTGTACCCTCACTCCCCTTCGGAGCCGACATCCTCCCCCCCACTCCGTGCCAGCAGAGCTAGGTCCACACCTAGCCCGCACATTCTCCCAAACCCCGAGCTGCACAGTCTGCCAAGGAGCTCACCATCGCAGCCCGAGGACTAAGGCGCGGGCTGGCAGGCCGGCCGGCTGGGGAATCCGTTACCGGGGCTCGGGATCCATTCGCGCCAACAACTTCTCCCGCGAAGTGGAAGGAGGTGGGGGCAGCGGCGCCCGGTGATGACGTCAGGCGCACGCAGTTCTCTTTCAGCCCCGCCCAAGGCGGGAGGAGCGACATGCGCCCAGGTGCCGCCCGGGACCCGGGCGGCCGCTGTCATCGCGAGGAGCCTCGGGGTCCTGGCGCGCGCAAATTTGAGCTTTGGCTTTTGGCGCGGGCGCCCGCGTGGAAGGTCCGAGATTGATTTGCTCGGGAGGCGGGCAAGCCAACTTCCTCCCGGCTACGGGTCGGAGAGAGCGCTACACTACAGTAGCAGCTTCCGGTGGTTCTACAATGCGCAGTACCAGACACATTTCAAATCTACATTTCACATATTACGTTTGAACATCTATTCTGAAACCAGATTTTCACCAAATGATACTTACCCTGATCCTTATTATTTTTTCAATGTTTGACCCTCGATATTGGTCTGTCGTTTACCATTAAGTGGAAGCCCCATTAACGGGAGGCCCCATCTAAAAACCACCAGGCTAACCAAAAGACTATTTTCTATCATTTCAAAGCAGAATCGATTTTATAAAATCATTTAATCGTCACCACCAAATGAAAAATATGTGACTCAAGCAAGCGAAGAGAACAGCTTGTTCCAAAGCTAAACCAGGTGGGAATCTAGACCTCCAAATTCCCAAACCAGAGGGGCTAAGCCCCTCAAAGAGCAATGGTGTGTGAAGTCAAGGCATAAACAAGGTGTGTCTCCATAGAAAAACAATGATCCTTAAAGCTTGGTAGTAAACAAGTTTTATATTAATAGATAAGTAACTGAATTGTAGAATGGAATGTGACATTTGCATACAATTTTAAGAGAAAACATGAGACCCTGCGGAGTTAAATGGGGAAACAATCTCTCCATTTTCCACTCTACTTTTAAAACCTTACCCACCCACCTCCTGTTGATCTTGCATGTAATCACACCGATATCTCTACAAAAAAAGATAGCAAAGCCTTCTGGAGTACAACAGAGACTAGGCTCAGTCAGCTGGTATTCATTAAACTCCCACTGTAATATGTGCCACGCATGCAGCAAATGGACATGCTAGTTTAACTTAACATTTAATCCCTACAATTTACACTGACTATTACCATTATGACCAGTTTACACAAGAAGAAACTATTACTTGAGAACAGGACTCAGGGGCGTCCTTGGTAGCAAGGGGTTAAGTCTCAGCACTATGAAGCTGTCCCAGCCACAGCAGCACTTAGTTCAACCCCTGGCCACAGAGCTCACCCACTTGGTGCAGGAGACTTCTGTCTCCCCACTGATTCCCTCAGCAGTGTATTTCAGTCAGTCAGCCTATTCTGCTCCCCACTCTGGCTCTGGTGAATCTTCTCACACCCTTGCGACGCTGGCTTATACCCCAGCTGTTGTATGCATAAATAAATAATTTTTAAGGATTTATTTATTTATGCATACAGAACTGGGGTACAGGCCAGAAGTGCAGGGGTGGTGAGAGGATTCACCAGAGACATAGTGGGGAGCAGAACAGGCAGATCAACAAAGTACACTGCTGAGGGGAGCATTGGGCCACCAAGAGAGGTCTGCCTGCCTTGTAGGTCACCTCCTGGGCAGGGATTGAACTCATGCTGAAGTGGTTTTAGTTTCTTAGTGCTGTGCTTTAACCTGTTGCACCACCAGGGAGGGCCCATAAATAAATTAATTTAAAAAAAAGAAACAAGGCCTCAATTGCCAATTGCACATGTACTTCTGTAGGCCCAGCGCCATGATATGCTGCTTGTACAACTACAGGCAAGTTACTGTGCCTCAGTTTCCTCATCTGTAAAATAAGGATAATATTACCATTCACATGGTTGTTACAGAACTGTTCCTGGCACATAAGCAGGTAACTGTTGTTGTTTTTATAAGTCAGCTATTATTCTTCTCATTATTATTATAGGTACTAACAAGGGAAAAGTCCACAAAATAAACATATCTACTCTACAGTTTTGCTTAGGAAAATGTTTGATTAGAAGGAGGAGTCATTAGAACTTTGAGAGATTTGTATGAACCTATTTTCCGGAAAAATGTACATAGCATGCCATCACATGTCATATTTGCCTATAATTTCAGAAAATCTAAGTCAATTTACAAGATTCACTTTGTTTAAGTAAAATACATAATAATTTTTTACATGTTGTTCACTTTATATTATGTTAACTCTGATTCTTTTTAGCAAGAAGTTGTGACTCTAAGAAGGTGGAAAGGCTTTGTAAGATTTTTTGTCAAATATTCTTAGGATTCTGCCCTTCTGATACTTAGTATTTATGACCAAAACAAAAAAGATAAAATTTCTATGTGTTTATTTCAAAATATGGTACATAGTTGTTTCCCATGGCAATGCTGTCTACTTTGAGTTTGTCCCAGGCAAAAGACCAGCATGTGTGTACCTTTCATATCTACGTGATCCTTCTTTGACAATAAGAATGCAACTACAAAAAGTCCTAGTTACTTACATGTCTTGGTATCAAATGAAAGACTTCAACAATACACCACCAGGAAATTGAAACATACAAAGAACCACAACAAACTATGCAGCTAACTTTCAGCTAGTTTTTTGAAAGGCATAGAAAAAATTCTTGTTAGTGATATAAACATCAGCTAACAATTCCTTGCATGCTTTCTTAAAAGTATTTTGATCAATAAAAAAGATAAAATCATGCCATTTGTGTCAACATGGATGGAACTGAAAGGAATTATGCTAAGCAAAGTAAGTCAGAAGGAGAAAGATAAATATTGGGTGGTGTCACTTACATGTGGAATATAGAAAAAAACAAAGAGTCAGGAAGACAACAAAATTTACAAGCTGCTAACAGGTCTGAGGCAGGGAAGAGGGAGAAAAGTCAAAATGGGAGGGCACAGTACGAGGGACTGTGGTGATGGTTTGTGGGTGCTTTGGTGGTGGGAGAAGTGTGCAACGACAGCCTAAGGGGGGAAATCAAATACTGCACAAAAGAGAACAATGATGTAGGAAAATAAATATACTTAATTATAAATAGATAATAAAAACTACTTAGGTCAAAATATCTTCCTCATATACTTCTTAGTCATTTTCTTGGCCCTTTGTAGTGTAAACAGTTCTCAAACCTGCTGATGAATAAATAGGACTAATATTTCATTTGAAGACTGAAAATGGTAACATATTACAGCAAATGGATAAACACTGCAGTTTCCTAAATTAAAGACATCTATTAGAAGTCTAAAATATTTACTAATATTTTCTTCTTTTAATAATAATTTGAAACCTAACACATTTTTAAGAAACATATTACCTGTTGGACTTGATTACCTGCTAGTCACTGGCTTTGTCTTAATCTTTAATAGAAAACAGTCCAGAGAAAACTTTGTCAACAAAGAAATTTTGTGCGTCAGGGGGTCTCTTACCCTCCTCCACTTGAAGATGCATTACTGGTGGAAAAAAGTTTACATCTCATGAAAAACCCTTTGCCCCAAAAGTTAGAACACTGACATTGACATATTTGTTAATTTATTATATTTCTAAACTTGTGAATAGTTGAATTATCCATGTAATAATTGACTCTCTTTCCACGATATATGCACAGTTAGTCGTTGTTCCCCTGAAATGACTAAAAACTGTATACTGGCTAGAAAGTGAATAATTTGAATTTTGGTCACCATTATTAAACCTAACTACTGCTGTGTATAAGTGGAAAACAATTGCAAAGGTTAATGTTAATGTCAGAGTTAGTGCCCCTGAGTTCAGTTAACTTACCTGCGTGATACAAATAACTTGGAGTTGTATCTGTGTGATACAAATAACCTGGAGTCACTTTGAAATTCTTCCCAGTCACACAATAGTTATATTATCTTTCATATAGACTTTTATAAGTCAACATAAATCAATAGAGTTTTTGCTGTGCAGCAACAAATGTGACTTTCTGCCCTCTGGATAAATATTAGCATGTCCTCCTCTGTCAGGGTTTATTGGAACATTTCACTTATAGAAAACAGTCTGTTAGGCAGCTTGCCTCTTCTGCATCTGTGATGACTACAGATCCAGACCGGTGATGTTGACCTTGTAATCCATTTATGAACATAATCATTAAGTCATAATCTGTCGCCATTAAAGTACACAAATTCTAATTTAGGAAATTAGGCACTAACTACACCATTTATCTTAATTCTTGGATGATATCCAGTTAACCTTCTTAATATGTTTATGCCTGAGTAATCTAAATTTATGTAAACTTCTCTGGTGGTTTTTATGTCCTGCAAATAATAGATTCTTCCAAGTAAATCAGTATCTTCACTTAGGTTAAAGAAACGTTGGCATTTAAAATGATACATATTAACAAAATACAAATAGAACTTTACTGTTGACATGCACATTTGATTCTATATAGGATGTATCTCAAATTATGGAAAAATTCCTTAAAATACTCACTAGCAATTTTAAGGGTGTGTACAGGCAGAATGACAGAAATGCCAGTAGCATTTTGTAGTGAAAGTAGATTTTATGATTTGGATAAGCTGTCGTCCTCCAACTCCTATAAATCAACTTTCCTAGACTAGAAACCTTAAAGAAAATGAATGATAAATGCAAAAAAAAGGAAAATGTTTTACACAGACACATAAATTAATTTTTCTAAAATTGATTGTCATAATGGACACACACTGAATATATTAAAGACCTTTGAATAGTGTATTTTCAGTGAAAGAATGGTATTATGGGGTTATATCTCAATAAAGTTATTTTTAAGATTTGTTTATTTATTCATACAGAACGGAGGTACAGGCCAGAGGTCCAGGAGCAGTGAGAGGATTCACCAGAGACAGAGTGGGGAGCAGAACAGGCAGATCCACGAATTACACTGCTGAGGGGAGCAGCGGGCTGATCAGGAGAGGTCAGCCAGACATGTGGTCACCTCCCAGCGCAGGGGATCGAATTTGCACTCAATGGGCTTCGGCTTGGCTCACTTGCAGTGCTGAGTCCTAACCCACTGCCCCACCAGGGAGGGCTCTCAATAAAGTTGTTTTAAAAGGAGTTA